AGGAGACCCCACCAGATGGACTTGAACCAGTGTCCAGTCTATAAAGAGAAGGGTCAACACAGAGGAATCATGTCATCCATGCTTCCAAGTGAAGCCAACCGTGGTCGAGCAGGACCTTTGACTTATCTTCATATAGGTGGAACTGGTAAAAGAAAGGAGCCAGGGGCTCCTCCCAAGCCCATGTGACCCCTGAGGAAGAGATCCTCAAACGACCTCAAGAGTAAAAATAAATCGGTTTGGCACTCCTATCCTCAGGCCTCTTGGGGTAAGTCTATAGCAGCGCAGCACCCCAGACACCTGGGGAACCAATACTGCTTCCTGATCCTTCTCACCCAGACTAATTGAGTGCCTTTCTTGGGCCCCAGGAGCACGGCTTCTGGTCCTGGCCCCGCCCTCACCTCTCTCTGGGTCCCTGGACCTGCACCACCGGCTAACTCTCCCAGCCTGCATGCTTCGATTGCTGTAGATGAGGAACAACTGATTCTCCCGGAACAGGGACCTCTGGCTGACTAGATTTACCAGAAGGGCAGATGGGGGGGAATAGATGGGGGTCCTGACAACACAGTGGACAGTGGCAGGGATGACAGAATATGGAGGCTCTAGTGGGAGAGGAAGGCTGTCTATCCGACGATTTTATATTAATACTCAGATGCCAAGGAACTCAGAAAGTAAGCGACTGTGACCAGTAATAGTCATATATATAGAGATTAGAAATGCATGTGAAAACGTCTCAATGTCAATTGCCTTAAAATGAATTTTTCTGTATGAAACTGTGTATTTTAACAACGAAGTGGAGATCTTTTTTAAATGTCAAAAACTCATTTAATTTTATGTCTTATAGAGTTTATAATGAGTAAAAGATTGTAGAAGCGTAATAATTCATCTGTAAACCTAAAAATATATAGCCAATTTTGAAAGAGATGTACCCTAGCTCAGAAAAATGTTATTGAATAGGTTAATGCTGTTGTAATGAAATGCTTCTTCTAATAAACAAACAAACAAAACAAAAAATAAATAAATAAATTGGTTTATCTGGACCAACTGTATGGCCTTAAACATCCAAAAGGAAAGTATTACCAAAGATTAAAGGGGCCAATATAATTTCATAAGAGTCCATATTTATAGCTAAAGGCTACATAACAAGCAACAATGCCAGACGGGCCATACCTTCTTTTGAGTTGTTGGCCAGCGTGCCCAAAGGGATTCCCAGATAGTAACCCACCATAGAACTGGGACAGTGAACAGCAGACCCCAATCTTATCCAAACGAATATTGACAACTGATTACCACTACATGAGGAACAGCTGACTCTCCTAAAACAAAGACCTCTAGATAAGCTGACTAGATTCACCAGATGGATAAGTAGTGGGGAATGGCTGAGGGGGGGGCAACAACACAGCAGACAGTAGCAGGGATATAAGAGTATAAGGGCTCTATTGGGGGGAGGGAGGCTATGGGAGGCTGCTACCTGGGAAGTGGATATATAAATAAATTTAAAAAATTCTTCAAAGCATAAAAATTTGCTCCTTAATATTAATAGACGTGAAAAACATTACCATTGAAATCTACCTGATGACTTTATATCCATGCTCAGATGCCAAGGAGCTCAGAAAGTAACCGACTGTGACTAGTAATAATCAGATATATAGAGATTAGAAACGCATGTACATCTTAGTGTCAATTATATTAAAAATGAATTTTTCTTTAAAAAGTAGAATTAAGTAGAGCCCTTTGCTAGAGTGATACATTTTGATTCTTGTTCATATATGACTAAGTTGGAATATTGATAGGAATTATGTTTTAATATCGTCAAGAAAGTATTCCCTGGATTAGCAAAATTCAGTTCATTCTTTTGAGTATTGGGTTCCCTCCCCTTCAGTGGCCAGGGAATATTACATAGTGATTGCATCTGTCTCTCACACCTTGTTGTGGCAGCAACCATAGAGTCATTCATAAGAGAAGTTATAATTCAAGATGGGCATGGTGGTGCACGCCTTTAATCCCAGCACTAGAAAGGCAGAGGCAGGCAGATCTCTGTGAGATTGAGGCCAGCTTGGTCTCCATAGTGAGTTCCAGGCCAGCCAGAGCTACAGAGAGACCCTGTCTCAAAAGCAAAACAAAACAAACAAAAAACAAAAAAAAATTTGCAATTCATTTTGTGTATGTCTTGAAGTTACTTATTTTTATTGCATGTATTTATTTGTGTATTTATATGTGTGTGTGTGTGTGTGTGTGTGTGTGTGTGACTGTGCGTGCCCACACATCGGTGTGCCACAGCACACAACTTGAGGCCAGAGGAGAACTTGTAGGAGTTGGTTCTCTCTCTCCACCTGTGAGTCCCAGGGATTAAATTCAGGTCATCAGGCTTGGCAGCAGGCACCTATACCCACTGAGCCATCTTGCCAGCCCTTATAATTCATTTTAGTACTGAAATAATGCAAGTATGGACAACTATAAATACCTTTTACTGTAGCAAATCCTTCCATATGCTTACTTAGTTCTTTGGGAACAATTTGAATTTCTTTGTAACATAGGACGTTTCTAAGCTGGAAAACTTTATCCTGGTTAGAGAAAGGCGATAGAAAGAATAATTTGTTGCCTATCTATGTGGAAATGCTTAGAGATACATGCATACATCTTCTATATTATAAATGTTAATAGTAATTTTATGTATGTAGAATCCGAAACAGTTGGTCTGGTAGATATTGAGAGCTGAATAACAGTTACTAGACAGAGAGAGAGAGGTGGAGGGGTAAGGAGAATGGTCAGCACATTCAATGCCACAGTTAATAGGAATAAATCCTGAAGGGCTGGCACAGCAGCAGGAATAAAGTTAACAGTACCAAGTTATCTAACCATAGAGAGACTCTGAGTGTACTATGAACCAACAATGAAACTGAATATACTAATTACCTGAGGTAGACTCTGTCCAATACGTACATGAATCAACCATTATATTGTGTCTCATAGATGCAGACACATATTATGTGTCAATAAAAATGACAAAAAGAAAAATTGGGCTGGAGAAGTGAGCCAGAGGTTAAGAACACTGCTCTCCCATAGTACCTGAATTCAGTTCCCAGTACCCACGTGGTAGCTAGCAACTGTGAGTAACTCTAGTTCCAGTGTATCTGACGCCTGCTTCTAGTCTCTGAAGGCATTGCACGCGCAGGGGCAATCACATGCATGCAAGCCGTACATTCAAACTCATAAAATGAAAATAGATTTTTAAAGTTTTTAAAGAAGAGAGGAATTTGAAAATGTTTGTATTCTTGTATTTGGTGACTCTAGGAATTGCATCTGCCTTGTGTTTTGTTTTGTTACTTTGTTGATTTGGACAATGGATGCTGTACTGATTTGCTCTGCCCTCATTAAGCAGCTGTTTCTATTACTGTATAGAGACTATGGAGTCGTGTTTGCAGAGTAGCTATCTGTAGCTAACTCTGAAAGAACTCCTTCAGAGCCTAATTAAAACCTTTTCTTTCAAGAGTTTTCTATAGAATTTTTATGTTCGTTTCAATGATAAAATTAAAATGAATAATGGTAAGGACAAGAAAATAATTAATTATGGGTTTGGAAAAACAGATACTCTCTGTGTTTATAATTTCGAGTACTCACACAAGGGAATGACTGAAAATATATAGAGAAATATAATAACTGCAATGATCATATCAGCATCATTCATTTAATTGTCATTTTAAAAATTAAAAGCTTATTAAATATATTAATATCTACAAATTTAATTTGTCAATGACTTACATATAATCACAGTTTATACTTTAAAACAATAAAGACCCCAATATGCCAATGGAATCTTTATTCACACCATAGATGAGATAACAAAATTTAACACTTTTTGAGGCTTAAAAGGAACAGTATTTTTTAAACCTTGTATTTTTATTTTCTTGTAGAAAATTGATCTATATGGGTTTCACCTCGTTAAGTCAGAATTACCTAAAACTTCAATTGTATTTTCACAAATAATTTGCTTTAAATTTTGATTTGTAAATCGTGTGTTTATTTTCATATTTATGCTTAATTGTGTGTTTTTTAGATTAATATTAAAATTAGCAAGTATTCCCTGAGCTGACTCTTAGGCAGATAAAGACCTTGGAGGCAAAAAACCAGTGTAGTATTAACAATTTGCCATGGATAATTCACAAGTAAATAAACCTGGTGTGAATAATTGAAAATGTGTTTGAGTTAATTCAAGGCTAAAGTCTTTACAGAAAATGTCTCTCAATATGCAACTGCTGAAATAGGCTGGAACTCAGACCACTCAATGAGGGGCCATTTGTAGGCTGTCAATATTTTTTTTCCATGTTATCTGCAAACCTATAGACCTCACCTTCTTGATATAGTAGTCCTAGAATTATGAAGGCTATAGCCGTCTGAGAAGTTGGAAAGCCTTGTCATGGAATCATTCAGCTTCCTTTTAACTTATAAAAAAAATTAAATGTAGAAACATTTGTGCTAGTTCTCATATAGTGCCCTATATGATGCAGAGATTATAGTGTAGTTTCCAGGACTGATGTGTGGCTTGGTGGTAGAATGTTTGTTTAGCTTGCATGTGGGCCCCTGGGTTTGATTTCCATGCCTGAAAATACAAATTCAGGTAAATGTAATATTAAGAATTCACCTGTAAAAAGAGCTTGAATGTTTAGTGTTAAAATAATGGGATTTTAAAAAGTGACTATTTAATGCATTTTAGTACTGTATTGAAAAATTTAAACTAATAATCTCATCCAGATAATAGTCACTCTTCCCACAATTAAATGTATACATGTCATAGATGCTGACAAATTCTGCAAAGTGCTTCCAAATTATATCAGGATTTTCACTCTATTGACACCAAGCATTGTTAATCAGCTATTAAGACCCTAATTATGTTCCTTGTTGTACTATCACTAAGACATATGACTGCAATTGAGTTGTGGCTATTTTACTTATAATTTTACCTGGGAGTCTTTAAAACATATTTCCCATTTTCCTAATTATAGGTTTCATATACACTGGAGAAGTTGTGCATCGAATGCTAACAGCCACACAGTACATAGCCCCTCTAATGGCAAATTTCGATCCCAGTGTATCCAGAAATTCAACAGTCAGGTATTTTGATAATGGTAAGTATTGATAAGCCTATTTGTGTTTGATGTATATCTAAACAAGAAGCATAAAATTCTTATCGAACTTCTTGACATTGAGACCAAGTTTGTAAACTGCTTGATGCAAATGATTTGAAACAATAAATGTCAAACCGTTAAATGTGGTAAAGTACATGATCAGATGGTTCTCCATCCATCTGTTCATTTGTTCACTCATTTTTTCATTTAACTATCATTTACAGCTATTACATAGTATAATGAATGAGTTTATGTAGACAGCAGCTCAAAAAATACATCTATTTTATTCTATTTCAATAACCCTTTCATATTTAAAAAATCTAGTTAAGTATGATCCTTAAGTAGAGGCAGTTCACATATTATATTGATATTAAAGTTTTACAACTTATGACTCCCATGGTAAGCTGAACATATCCTTTCAAAAAATATGAAGTTATAGGATTTAAAATATTAATAGGATATAATGCTTCCAATTTTAAGATATGAAATAAGTCATGTTAAGATTTACCAAGTATACTGACAGCAATGTATCCCTGTATTTCTTTGGAGGGCATATAAAATAATTTGAAAAAACCTGTAATTTATCATTAATTATCATTAAAATTTAAATAAGAGATTCAAGATCTTAGAGCCATAAATGAATCTTGACCTTTATATCTCACTGAAAGGTCCGAGTTTAGTAAAGGAAAGAAATTACAGGCATAGGCTGTATTTCAGTCAAATAATTTAAAAGAATTTTATATACTGTTCATAATTCCAAATAATACATGTTTGTTCAAATGACAATTTCATCTCTGGAAAAATAGAAATCATTTAAGGTACACAAAGATTTCTAATGGTCAAGGACAAAGTTAAAATTTTCTAATAAGTGCTAGGGACTTGAAAATGAGAGTATCCTTGGGAGAAAATTAACATTTCATTATAAAAACAAGTTTATAGTTAGTGTGATAAAGCCATTTCATAGGTCATCATAGCAATGGATGGAAGACACTAAGCACAGTCAAACATACACGTCAGCAAGTACATCTTCAACACTTTGAATCACACCCAAGTGTGATATAACATTTATTAATTAACTCTAAATATTATCTATAGCAATTACTTTTCCTTATCACTTTAAGAACTGATTTATTCTACCTACCTTTTTGGTTCAAACTCATGAGCTGAGATAGATGATGGATGATAGATAGATAGATGATGGATAGATGATAAATGATAGATAGATAGATAGATAGATAGATAGATGATAGATAGATAAAACCAGAAACTTCTAAGCTTAGTCCACAGTCTCCCTTGCAGAACCACTGTAGTGATTCACTCTAAGTACCCAAGAACTGATTTAATGAAAGCTGTTTGTTTTCCAAACCCTATTTTTTAACACATGCTGTTAAGGACATTGGCTCATGAGAACAGAATGTTTAGGAGTAGGTTTTGATAGTTTCAGCATCAAAATTGTAAAGTATTTAAGTAATTCTCTCTTTCATATGTTCTGAGATACTATTTTAGTGTGTTAATTTTTTATAATTCTTTTATAAATTAAAGTATATTGTTCTAACTCGCTTCTAAATTCTTTATGAAGATTTTCATGATATATTAAGAAGTCTGTCTCTGGTACATAGTATATGTACTTAGTTGGCACTGTTTCACAATATTTAATGAATGAATAAATGAAAAATGTAAATGTTTAAGAATTCTTACTTCTGAGCATTTTGAAATCATGACTGTTCAAGAGTTAATGCATTGTCCTCATTGAAGCAGTTTCTGTGTGCTGACCATGGGATACCAAGTTCCTGCAATGTGATAAATGCAAGCTGAGTTGCTCCTATGTTACTTATTAATAGATGATGCAATTTGAAATATTCTAAGCCTCTTTATATCATAGCAAGTTGTTGAAATATTCTTGACTTTGATTGGTTAGAGCCAATGACATCCACTTTAAAATTGGAAACAGCATTTTAGGAAAGCCACCATCTCTAGAAGGCACAGTGGCAGGTCATAAAGTTTCTTCTAAGATAAAAACTTCTGAAAGAAATCACTAGATTTTAAAAGAGAGTTAATGATTCCAACTGTTGTGGCTAGGCCATCTGTCTATATAAAGTATAACTGCAGTCTACATTAGTCACAAAATATTAACACACAAATGGGAAAAGTTATAAACATGATGTCTTTTTTGACAAACATAGTTTGATGGTTCATAAATAGAAAGTCAGATTCTCTTACCAGTGGCTAGAAACCTGATGAAGCATAGAATCAAAAAAGGGAGCTGATGTGCCTTTTGTAGCTGTAGTGCATTCTAGTTCTGACTTTATTTTGAAGATCAAATGTTGACATCCAGTACTGATTAGGTAATTATACTATGATTCGAGATGCTTAGTACCAATAATACCTAGGCTGGTACGGCAGGCTCTATGGCCTGGTGCGCATGATAAATAGCTTCAGAGAAGCAGCTTGGGTGGATAATGTCAAGCAGTTGGCCTCTCAGAGCTCTGTAAATATGAGTTCGTTAGCTGATGGCTTTCCTTTACTCAACATCGTAGTTGTCCAACGCAATAAGTAAAAAACAAATCAGTATAAAAGCCACCCCCAACTCACCTCCCTGTTACAAAGTGTTTGATTTTAGCAGTATTTAATAAAAAATGGTACTTGAAATAGTGGTCCTTTGATCAAAGAAAAGGGAAAATTTTTAGCAAATTTCAAAATCTAATGAAAACATTGATACTAAAAATTATTGCTGTTACTATTGAAACAGGCAAATGCTGGGTCACTGTGCCACTCCGCAATGTGAAACCTAGCGTGTGCATGCACTGTTCACTTTAATACCCGTTGCTGACAGTGTATTAGAAATAGCTCACTGGAATTCTCACTGAAGTCTTGGTTTATGCTTGCATCTCATCTTCACACAGGATTCGAAGCTACTGTATTTTCTTATGTTAAGTATTGAAATCCCTTGAAGGCTTTAATTATCCTTCCTGCGTTATGGAACAGGAAACAGGTGCATGCAGGTGAACTGCGTCTGAACTTAGGAAGAAAAACTTGCAGAGGTAGTTAACAGGGTATGGTAGAAGTTAGACAATAAGGACTTGAATAATGTAGACATTGGGACGTGAGTAGCAGATCCTTGTACGGGTAAAATTATGAAAAGTTTCCTGCTAAGGTTTTCTGTTATCATTTCCCAGTCTTTAAGAAATTATACCATAGATGCTTTGATGCCTATAGGAGGCCCTGTCTCACCCTTGAGAGTTCCAGAACTTTTTAAGGCTAAAAGCTCCATGGTCAACTTCAACAACATTTTGTGTTTTTTTGTTTGTTTGTTTGTTTGTTTGTTTGTTTTCTCATTGTTGTTTGTTGCTTGGTTTGTTTTGTTTTAAGACGGGGGTCTCCCTGTAGCCCCAGCTGGCCTGATCTCCCTATATCGACCAGACCGACTACAGTCTAATGAAGATTTGCCTGCCTCTGCTTCTGGAGTGCTAGGATTAAAGGTGTGGGCCACCATGTCCAGCAACTTCTAAAATGTTATCTCAAAGGAAATATATTTCTATATTTTAACATCTTTTAAAGATTTATCCTCAGGTAATCAAAATGCTTAAAGTAACAAGTCTATTTAAAAATTTCAGCTACCTCAAGAGTCATAACTAGCACCTCAAATGGTTGCTGAATTTTAATTCCACATGGAATAATAGTAATTTTTAAAATGAGGTATTTTTGTCAGGAGATACGTTTTATTCTTTTAGTTCTGTTTGATTTTTGGTGCATTATTTTATGGCACAAGGATTTCTTAAATTTCTGTTTTTCCAAAGATTAAAACCAACAACACTCTGCAAAAATCACAGCTATCCATTGTGTATTCAAAGAAAAGAATGCACAATGTCAGTTAAACTGCACACAATTCTCATTGAACTTGAATATTGAAGGACACTTCAACTTACTTTGTATGTCAACAGTTTCATAGTGAAGATAGCAAACTGAGTCACTGGAATATGAATTCCAGCTGATCAGCTTCACCTCATGTTCCTGAGGGGACTTCAGCAATCAACCCTTTAAAAGTTTCGTAGGGTCCAGGAATCAGTGCAACAAAGATGGACAGACATAGTTGATCAAAGAGGAAAATTCACATTAGTGTTAAAGGAACTTCTATAGAAGACTGTGGTTCTGTTCCAAAAGATATTTTTAGGTCACTTACAAGAAAGCCCAGCTTTTTTGCATATGTTCTTTCTCAGCATTTGACACAGGAATTTAGAATTCATTCAATCCTCTGGACTGTTTAGAAAGTGGCTCATATAAATTTTAGCAGATAGTACCTGTTACCATTAATGAAAAGCTAAGGCAAATTACCCCCTCACTGGGAAGAATTCATATTAACCTCAGTATGAGCTTAGATTTTTACCAAATATTTAAACAATACTCAGTCCTTTAAAATAAATCCCAAACTCTATTTCAGTATCAGAATTCTAATTACCCACAGAAAATTGAAATAGCACACTGGATCCTATGCTAGATAAACATCTATGGATGCACTCCTAGGACTGGAGCATACCTTGATTCACTGGTCTCTTCTTTCTCCTGCTGGGTGGTAGGCACGGCACTTGTTGTCCAGTGGGACCATGTCCACCTGCAGGACAATTACAACCTGGGAAGCTTCACCTTCCAAGCAATTCTCCTCATGGATGGACGCATCATCTTTGGATACAAAGAAGTAAGTGATGGTTTGAATATGTTTTATTCCCTTGACCTTGACCATGACCCTGTCTTTCCTTCAAGCGTCAAGACCAGGGTATTTCAGAAATGAACTTCAAATCATTTTCTTGTTGGTTTATTTTGCTTAATAAAGAAACTTATTTTAATTTTCTTTACCAAACACAGTTAATATTGGAGGTTTGTTTTGCTTTTTTGTTTTCTGATATCATTGGCATTATGATCCATGAATTTACAAAATTATTGAGTGTCTTATAATGGTATTATTAAAAAAAATCCCTCAGGAAAAAAAATTTCTTGTTTTTAAGGATTTTTTCATCCCTTATATAGGTCTTTATATTTATAGGTTTAGGGTGGGTTCCCTTCTTGATTTCTTTTTTATTCTGACCTCCAAATATTAGTGAAAATAAAAATGGGTGACCCAATATTAGGATTTGTAGGGCTGTTATGTCTACTGTTCAATGTCCTTTGTAATCCCACAGGAAAGACTATGATATTCCCAAGTGCACAAATATACGAAAGAACTTAAATTATGTCTTGTTTGAATTTAATAAACTGACAAGGAAAGAAAATTTGCAAAATCATGGGTTTAAGTTTGCAGGAAGTTTAGACTAGCATAACAGTGTGTTTGATTTCAGTCTACAGTATGAGGGAGGTCTATTAGACAAATACACAGATAAAATAGCAAGAATTGCAGTTGAAATGTTTTAGACAGTTGGTAGTTACGAGAGAAATACTGACAATGAAAATTAATAATGGACATGGTTAACACATAGGTTAATATATTTATAATAGTACAGACTCCGAGTCCTCCTTTCAGTTCAAGGACTGTCTTTTTTTTTTTTTTTTTTTTTTTTTGTCTTTTTTGAAACAGGGTCTCCCTGTAGCCCCAGCTGTCCTGAAACTCTCTATGTGGACC